AGAAAGGTAGTTTCACTGGGTGTAGAATTCTAGGATGACAATTGATCTCTTAGAGCACATTGAAGATGTCATTCTAGTGCATTCTGGCATCCACTGATGCTGTCGAGAAGTCGGCTTTCAGTTACATTTGTTTCCTATGTGATCTCTCTTCTTTCTCTGGCTGCTTTTTAAAATTTTTCCTTGGTGTCCTGTAGCCTCAGGACTTCAACATGCATTGAAGTGTGCTTTTATTTAAATCTTGGTAAGGATTTACGGAGATACCTGGATTTCTAACTCTGGAAAAATTTCATTCCTATCTCCTTTAATATTGCTTCCTTTCTTCTCTCTTGACTCCCTTCTTGAACTCCAGAGTAGATGCTCCTTAGACCCTCCTACCCCAGCCACCATGTCCTTCACTTCTTGTCTATATTCTTCTATCTCTGTCTCTTGGTCCTATAGTTGGGATGATTTTTTAAAATTTTTAAAATTTCATTTATTTTTTAGAGATGGGGTCTTATTCTGTCACCCAGGCCAGAGAGTACAATAGTGGGACCATAGCTCACTGCAGCCTTAACCTCTTGGGCTCAAGTGATCCTCCCACCTCAATCTCCTGAGTAGCTAGGACTATAGGCACATGCCACCATGCCTGGATTTTTTTTTTTTTTTTCTGTAGAGATGGGATCTCATTCTGCTTTCCAGGCTGGTCTTGAACACCTGGCCTCAAGCAATCCTCCCACCTCAGCCTCTTGAGTCTCTGGGATTACCAGTGTGAGCCACCTTGCCTGGCTAGGATGATTTCTTGAGCACCATCTTTAAGTCCACAACCAATTGCTTCTTTAGACATATCTAATATACTTTTCACTGCAACCATTATACTAAATGTTTTCATTTTAGAAGTTCTGTTTAATTTTTTTTTCAAATATACTGGTTCTTTCTGTGAAGTCTCTTGGCCCTTGTTCACATTTTTTTTTTCCTTTTTTTTTTTTTATGATCTTGTTGCATACCAACTTTGTTCACATTTTCAGGCTTCTCTTTACTACTTAAACATTAAAGTTGAAATTGACACCTTCCCCAGCCTGGCACTCCCTGCGCCCTTCTCCTGTATGTGTCTCCCAGGCCTGGCACTCCTGTGCCCTTCTCGTGTGTGTGTCTCCCCAGCCTGGCACTCCCTGTGCCCTTCTCGTGTGTGTGTCTCCCCAGCCTGGCACTTCCTGTGCGTTTCTCCTGCGTGTGTCTCCCCAGCCTGGCACTTCCTGTGCCTTTCTCCTGTGTGTCTCCCTAGCCTGGCACTTCCTGTGCCTTTCTCCTGCGTGTGTCTCCCCAGCCTGGCACTTCCTGTGCCTTTCTCATGTGTGTGTCTCCAGGGCACAGGTGTGTCAACTCCATGGCAGCCGGGACTTTTGTCTGTTTATCTCACTTTTGTGTCTACTTCCTTGAACAGGGCTCAGTAAGCCAGCACTGGTTGGACAGACGATGGCTTCATATGCGGTGTCTCGTCAGTGTCTGAAGTCTGTGATGAACCCTTTCGCTGATTCTCCCTTCGTGTGTGCTTTGCTGTTTTTGCCCCAATGAGAGGTCATTTTTCTTGGAACTTTATCTGTGGGAATTCTTTGAGGCCCAGGTTGAAGTCATCTCTAGAAAGGAACTATATTTGCTTCTGCCAGTTGCTTGGGGCCCTATCAACCTAGAACTGCTGCCACTTAGGTTCTCTGCTTGAGAGTTTTCAGAATACCAAAGTGTGAATTTGGGTGGGATTTTTGACCTCAACTTCATGTGAGGCCCAGCTTGGGCTAAGGTTGAGATAAGCAGGCTTTTTTGCTGAGCCAATATTTTAGTTCTTATTACTTCTACCTCCACCCCTCCTCCTCAATGTTATCTTAAATTTTTTTTTTTTTTTTTTTTTTTTTTTTTTTTTTTTTTTGAGACAGTGTCTTGCTCTGTTGCCCGGGCTGGAGTGCAGTGGCCAGGTCTCAGCTCACTGCAAGCTCCGCCTCCCAGGTTTATGCCATTCTCCTGCCTCAGCCTCCCGAGTAGCTGGGGCTACAGGTGCCCGCCAACTCACCCGGCTAGTTTTTTGTATTTTTTAGTAGAGACGGGGTTTCACCGTGTTAGCCAGGATGGTCTCGATCTCTTGGCCTCGTGATCCGCCTGTCTCGGCCTCCCAAAGTGCTGGGATTACAGGCTTGAGCCACCGCGCCCGGCCTAAAAATTTTTTTTAATTATGATAAAATACACGTAATATATAATTTACCATCTTAACCACGTTGAAGTGTACATTTCAGTAGTGTCACGTGTGTTCACATTGTTGGGCAACTGATCTCTAGAAAGTTTTCACCTTAAAAATGGAAACTCTGTACCCATTAAACACCAGCTCCCCATTTTCCCTCCTCCAGCCCCTGGCTGAACTGCCATTCTTTCTCTTTATGAATTGGGCTACTCTGGATACCTCATGAGTGAAATCATATAGTGTCTGCCCTTTTGTGTCTGGATTATTTTGCATAGCATAAATATCTTCAGGAATCATCCACACTGTAGCATGTAACAGGATTTCCTTCCTTTTGAAGGCAGAAGAATATTCCGTTATATGGACATACCCCATTTTGTTGTTCCGTCCGTCCACTCACGGATGCCTAGGTTGCTTCCACATTTTGGCTGTTGGGAATAATGCTGCTATAAATAGATATGGGTGTACAAATGTCGAAGTCCCTGCTTTCAGTTCTTTTGGATAGACTCAGAAGTGGAATTGCTGGATCACGTGGTAATTCTGTTTAATTTTTTGAGGAACCACCACACCATTTTCTTTTTCTTCTTTTTTTTTTGAGAAGGAATCTCACTCTGTTGCCCAGGCTGGAGTGCAGTGGTGCGATCTCGGCTCACTGCAAGCTCCGCCTCCTGGGTTTACGCCATTCTCCTGCCTCAGCCTCCCTTGTAGCTGGAACTACAGGCGCCTGCCACCTCGCCTGGCTAGTTTTGTGTAATTTTTAGTAGAGATGGGGTTTCACCAGGTTAGCCAGGATGGTCTCGATCTCCTGACCTCGTGATCCGCCCGTCTCGGCCTCCCAAAGTGCTGGGATTACAGGCTTGAGCCACCGTGCCTGGCCACACCACACCATTTTCCAGAGTGCCTGTACCATTTTCAGTTCCCACCAGTAGTGCACAAGGGTTCCAATTTCTCCACATCTTTGCCGACACTTGTATTTTCTCTTTTTTTCTTAAATAGTAGTCATCCTAATGGGTGCACAATGCTATTACATTATGGTTTTGATTTATATGTCCGTAAAGATTAAAGACATTGAGTAGCTTTTCAAATGCTTATTGGTATTGGTGTATCTTCTTTGGACAAATGTCTATTCAAGTCTTTGGCCTGTTGTTTTCTCTTTTGGTAGGGTCAGGGTCTTGCTGGGATGCCCAGGCTGGTTGCAAACTCCTAAGCTCAAGCAATTCTCTCACCTTGGCCTCCCCAAACACTGGGATCACAGGCATGAGACACTGTTTCTAGTCATTTTGCCTGTTTTTTAAAGGAGGTTATTCGTGTTTTTTGTTGTTCTTATTCTCATTACTTTTGCCACTGGGGGTGGGGCTCTGTGGGGTGCCAGCTCTATGCAAGCATTTCATATTAGACTCCTGCTCTACATTGGTTTCTGCACCCTATGCAGTCATCCAGGTGGAAGTTCAAGCTCTCAGCACAGAGTCTGAGATGAGTGCTGGCTCAGGCTCCACTAAGCTGCCAAGGTTTCTGCCTTCTCTTTGCTTCTGGCCTCTATGGCAGCCTGAGGATGCCTCTAGCAAGATGAGTTTTACATTTTCTTCAGCATTTTAGCTGTTTCCATCAGGAGGGCCGTCAGCCATCTAATCGCCCACACTATAGAAACCGTAGCTCCTGGACATTGATTTTCTGACCACATCTTGACTTTTCTCTCTGCCGTCAGAAGTATTTGCTTGTGTCTGAGACAGCCTGAGGAATTCCATATAGGTAAGTGCATCGTTAGGTTCATGACAGAAAGGAAAGCGGAGAGTAAATGTGTGTCTACACCATGATCATGATTTTGTAATTTTATGTGCCTGTGAATAAGGACATGAAGTTTATGTAGAGAAAGGAAAAGTGGTCATTTCTTAGATTGGTGTAATGGGGACAACTTACTTTCCTTTTAAAAATGCACTCCTCCCTTCATCAGCCATGCAGTCAGTCAGTCAGTCACGAGTGAGTCCTTGGCTCCAGCCCCGTCCTGGAAGCAGGAGACCCAGAGACTGAAGAGATTAGAAAGCGCCCAGTCCTGAGTCCTTGTGCTTGTGATGCTGGTTATGTACACAGTGAGCAGTGGCCTGCGAACGAAGTTAGGTGATGCAGTAGTGGTATGGGGGCTAAATGCCTTAACATTGGAAGGGCAACCTAAGAAAAAATCCCAGCAGTTTGGGGGAGAATGCTTAGTCCTCAAACAGATGTTTTCGAGGGACAACAGGAACCACTGGAAAAGAGTTTGAAGTTGTGACTTTCCTTAGAGTGGTGAAAACAGGATTCCATTTTCAAAAATGTCCTTTTCACACCACTAAGAAATGCCAGCCACAGAGGGGATCTCAGCTGGGGGAGGGGGCAGAAGTGTGTAGGGTTTAGACAAAAGCCCAGCCCCCTTTGGGCTTTCAAGAGCAATTCAGAATCCCTATGTGGAAAAGGGGAGAGGGGCAAGTTCCCAGAGAGGCGAAGGGCAGAGCAGCCTGGAGACTTCCTCTCCACCGGGACACCGCCTGCTCCGGCTGTCGGCAGCCTTCTTCAGGTCCCGTCTTTGTAAAAAGGGCTGCTCAAAGCTGGGACTTAAACTAAACAGATTTCCTAGAGGAAACACACACACACCATCACACTCTGCTAAAGTTGCTTTTATGGACATTTCCCTGAGAAATATTTCTCTCTGGAAAAATAAATTCACAGGATGTAATTAAAACCATGATGTGTGTATGTTGGCCAGGGCTCTTCTTAAGTGCTTCACCAAATGGGCCACCAAATAAAGCAATGAAGGCCGGCTTTGTTCACGTCAATTAACAATGCTATTTATTAATTGTAACACAGGGCATTCTCTTGGTACTTTATGGTTTCAGAAACAGCTTTGCGGTTGGCCCTTGCCCAAGGCAGCCTCGGTTCTGACCCCAGTGTGACCTCTGCAGGGAGACACCACGAGGACTCCTCAGTGGCACTCGATTAGGCGACAGGCTCAGCTCCACCGACGTGCCCATTTGGGCCTGTGTTTTCTGCTGATAACCTAGGGAAAAAAACATTCTAAACATGAGAAAAGTTCCTGAAAAAGAAACTGTTAGCAAAGCCGTGCTTCTGAGTAACAGGGCTAAGGGGAGTTAGGTCTTCCTACCCTCGGTGGGGCTCCCAGCCCCGGGCTCTCCTGCTGGGTCTTCACCTCAAGGAGCAACCGTAATTCCAGTTTCTTTACTGGATGTATGAGCCCTGAAGTTGCGGAAACCATTCACCATAGACCCGTCTTTAGCCCAGGTGTGGGCGGGGCTGTGCTCCCCCAACCCCCATGTTCTAGGGGAGGGTCCTTTCTGCCTCTGCCAGCTTCTGGGGGCCCCAGGTGTTCCTTGGCTTGTGGCCACGTCACTGCACTCTCCACCCCTGTCTCCACACTGTCTTCTCTCTCTCCAATCCGCCTTTGCCTTTCTCTTGTAAAGGCAGCCGCCATTGGATTAGGGCCTGCCCTAAGTCCAGAACGATCTCATCTCAAGATCCTTAATTGCATTTGCAAAGACCCTTTTTCCAAATAAGATCCCATTCACAGTTTCCAGAGCTTAGGCCATGGATGTCTCTGTTTTGGGGGCTGCCATTCAACGCCCCCATGCTGGTCTATAGGTTCCTTGGGATGGTGTCCAGCTTTGCTTAACCTGAACCCTAGGACCCCGGTGCCCTGGTGTGGCAGTTTGTCAATTTCAGAGCACGAATGACTTTATCCATTGGTTCAGGAGCAAGGCCTGGGTCAGCTCCTGCGAGAGAATCAAAATACCCGTCCCACCAGAAGCCACTTTCGTGGAACCTAAGTGTCTGCCAGGAGAGATAGGCCGGCACCTCTGGCAGCTGCAGTTAGGTGAGGAGAGATAAATGTTGCCGGGAGGGCCTGGAGCCAAGGCCCCAGTTGCGGGGTGGAAAGGGGGGGGGGGGGGGGGGGGGGGCATCTGGTGAGGAGGGAGAGGTCCCCAGGACAGGGGTGTGGGAGGGAGGGAGCCTTGTGTGCAGACCCCGGGGACAGCGTGCTGGTCCTAGAGGGTCAGGTTCTAGGCAGGGAACTTGGGAGCTGGAGGAGGGGAGGGAGGTTGGGGCTCCTCTCGGGAAGGGCCTCAGATGCCAGGCTTCTCGAAGAGCCTATAGATGGGCATTCAGGGGACCATGAAGGAGTCTGTGAGCCCGAGTGACAGAGACCAACTGGTATGGCAGGAAAAGTTCACCTGGTGGTAAGGAGGGCATGGTGGGGCTAGCTCAAAGACTCCAGCACTGCAGCAGGACAGGCAGGGAGCGGGCTGGGATAGGGTCTCCACTCACCCTGCTTTGAAAACTGGCAGCCCTGTGTTCTGGGGCGACTCAGTGCTGGGCAAGCTGGGCTGTTGGTCCCCCTGCGGCCGAAGAGTCTCTAAGAATCTCCTGTCTCTGCTGCCAGTCCCTGCTCTGGGACCGAGATTTCCTCACCTCTGACTCCTCCCACTGTGGCAGTGACCAGCACATAGTAGGTCCTTCCATGGGTGCTGCCTGGAGAGACGCAGGCCCTGGCAGAGAATGCATGGTCTCACTGAGCGCCATGGCCTCCTGACACTAGTGGAGTTCTCGGTCACACCAAGGGAGGCAGCATGGCACCTGTGAGGGGGACTGAGAGAGGGCACCCCCTTGGCAGGGCTCCCAGGGCCCACACCGTCCTCTGCAGTCCCCATGGCTGGGCCCCCTGGTCCTCCTCTGGGGCCTCCACTGCGAGGCTAAACCACGTCCAGAGGCCAACCTGGCTGGAAGAGGGAGGCTTCGAGGGCTGCAAGGAACTTCACTGCCTGGGCCCTGCCCAGCCCCGCCAGCCCCAAGCTGAGGGCCTGCTGGGACACTGCCTCTGCCCCTGAGCCTTGCTGTGTTCCTAGCTGGGCAGAGAAGGTGGGCTCAATTTCGGACAGGGTAGGGTGGGGTGGGAGGTTGGAGGCGGACCTGGCTCCACTCAGCAAAGCCATGCCATAGTGAGCATTAGCAGCCATGACACTGACGCCCACTGTGTACTGAGGCTCTCTCTGCCCCAGGAAGCCTGTGGCACGTTCTATGGGATTTTGTGTCTTTACAAAGCCTGCCAGGTGGGTATTATCAGCCTCATTTGACAGGGAGGCAGCTGGTGCTCGGAGGAGTCACCCTGTCCCGATGACTCAGCTGGAAGGATGTGGATCTGGCTCCCTAGCTTGGGGCAAACACCCTGACTCTCCGCAGTGGGCTCCAAGGCCTGAGACAGGGTCTGCGGGGCAGGGGCTGGTAAAGATGTTTGCAGGGCAAAGCATGGAGGGTCAGTGAGCTGCCCTCATCTCGTGGTCTCATCTGGTAAACCTTCAGCTGCCCTGCTTCCTTCAAAGCAGGAGATCTGCTTCCTTCAAAGCAGGAGACCTGCTTCCTTCAAAGCAGGAGATCCTTCAAAGGGGAAGAGAGGGCTGGGCCTCCTGGGAGGAGACACCCCAAACACAGGCCCACAGGGCCTAGGATCAGGGGAGATTCCCATTTCTGGTCCCTGCCTGGGTGACATCTGCTGCCCAATTCCCGGAGACAGCTGTGGGGGTTGAGCGGCAGCAGCACCAGCACACCCAGGCCCGTCAGGGTCCTCACCAGCCTACAGCTGCAGAGCTCAGGTTTCCAGCCTCTCATGTACCTGCCGTGCTTCCAGCGGGAACTCCAGTTCCCTGCGACAGGAAGGATGAGGGATGAAGGCCCCTTCTCAGACCTCCTGAACCAGAAAGCCCATTGTCGGACATTTTTGTTACAAAATGATGGTAATGAGCACTACTGTAGCTGAATCTCTCACACATCTGATTATTTCCCTAGAATGAATGCCTGGAAGAGGCATTTCTGATCAGGGATTATTCATTCTTATGCTTTAGCTAGACTGCCAAATTTTCCACCAGAAAGACTGGGCTAGGCTCCACAGAGGGGCCATTGGGGACACTTTGGGGGAGCGACGGGTGATTTTAGGGGCAGGAAAACGGGAGGGAGCCACTGGGACCTGGAGGGGCAAGACAGCCCAGTTCACTGGTCCTGTCCCTGCTGTGCCAGGCTGGGATGGCACTGGCAAATCCCTGTTGCTTGTAGGTGATGGGACCCAAGTTGATTCATCTCCATTAGTCACTGAGTGTCCCTGTGTTGGTGGGTCTTTTGGACTCAGAGGACCTGAAGAAGAGGGACCCTGGAGAGGTGAGGTCTGAGGGGGAGACAGGCTGTGGGGCTGGACAGTCTGGATGTGACCCCAACTCAGCCACCTGTGGGCTGTGTGGTTTTGGGCATAGCATCAGGCCCGCAGATCTCAGGGTCCTGAGAAATGGGGGTGATGGCATTGGCAGAGTGTGGACAGTGATTGAGTGTCCTTCCCCCTCCAGCACTACTGGCTCTGTGGACACTGCCCTGCACCATGTGGGCATTTAGGAGGCACAGAGGCGGGGATGTGAGGCCGCCTTCCCACTACGGAGCACGTGCTGCCTCAGGTTCTTCTAAGAGGCAGGATCCCAAGGGCAGCAAGTGGCAGGGGAGACGGAGGTGCAGGTGCAGGTGCAGGAGGGCCGCTCTGCTCAGGGCACTCAATACCTTGATGCAAAGGCTGCTGACACGCGGGACACCCACTGTGGGCCCACCGGGACCAGGCAGGTGGAGCAGCGGAGGCCCACGGAGACCTGGCTCTGCCCAGGCTGCACGTCAGAATCACCTAGGTTCTCTGAACCACCCAACACCCAACCCGCACCCCTGACTGACTGCACCGGAACCTCTTTTAAAAACGTATTTAAAACGATTGTGGTAAAATATACAGAACATAAAACTTAACCTTCTTTAAATGCACAGTTCAGTACTGTTAATTCACAGTTCACATCGCTGTGCGACCAGGCTCCAAAACTTTTTCATCTTCCTCAACTGAAACTGTCCCCATTAAACACTAACTCCTCATTCCCCACTCCCCCAGTCCTTGGCAACCCCCCTTCGGCTCTACGATTTCACTACTACAGGGACCTCAAATAACTGGAATCACACACTACTGTATTTGTCTTTTTGTGACTGGCTTATCTCAGTCAGCATAACGTCCTCAAGGTTATCCGTGTTGTGGCGTGTGTCAGAATTCCCTTCCTTTCTAAGGCTGAGTACCAGCCCACTGTATGGATGGACGGCATTTCGTTTATCCATTCATCCATCCAACAACACGTCAGTCGGTTTCAGGCTTCAGAGTTGCTGAAGCTCCAAGAGTTCGAGATGTGCGGCTGTGCTGGAGCCAGGGGCTGGGCACACTCCTGGCTCCTGGCCTAGCAGCGTCATCATCGGAGTCACCTGTCCCTCATGCCAGTGGTGCTTTCTGCTGTTAACAAGTCCAAACACCACTGTAGTAAGTACCCCTACTCCTGCCTCCACCCCCCACAGGGCCTGCCAGGTCTGCCCCCAGTGGGCCCACCCGGTCTGGGCCACCCAGGGCCAGCTTCAGCGGGGGCACTTGCAGGGCTGCGCCTGCGGCTTCCCTTACTCCCGTCTGGAATGTTGTACACCTGGATGGGCCAGCAGCTCACGCCCACGACTGCTGGGGTCTCCGGACTCCCTCATCAGCCTCCTGCTGTGCTGTGTACAAATCCTCCTCCTGCATGAGCCCCCGCTAACACAGCAGAGGAGAATGGGAGGAGCCAAGGGAATCCACGCTGAAGGACCAACACCAATACTCATGGTGGGACGACGCTGCGATATTTGAAGTTGGGAGTGTGCAAGAAATATTACTTGTTCACGAATGCATTCATTTATTCAATGCACTTCGTGTCAGCCACCGGCTGTCATCAGCTACGCACCTGATTGTGGGGCTTCATGGAAGGGATTTGGGGGAGCATTCATCTAAAACCACAGCACGCCATGACGCTCAGTCCTGCAGTGGTCCCTCACCAGTCCCCGCGCCTCCCAATCCACCCTCCCGGGGGCTGCTCGCGGCTAGGGCCCACCTGCGGGGACCCAGCCAGCCCGGCCGAGGCCCGGGTCCCGCCAGCCACGGTCCTCGGAGCCCCGCCCACATCTGGAGAAGCCACGCCCCGTCCGTGGGGTGGGGACTGCCCGCCCGACCGAAATTCCCAGGCTGCTGCCCCAGGCAACGCGCTTTCTGACTCCTTGGCTTCTTATGCTGGGAAACCACAGCGCGGCCGGCATCCTGAGAGTCGATTACTGGCGAAGTCCTAGCCGGACATCAAGACCAGCCAGCACCCGGCTCCGCAGCGAGACCGGAAGCGGAGGCGCGGCCCCTGCGCGGCCCCGGAAACCAGTGAGGCCGGCGCGCGCCCGCCGGAAGCCGCGACCCCGACGTGGCCCCCTCGCTCTCGGCGCCGGAAGTGGTCGGGGGCCGCTTTCCTTCCTGCCCGAGGGGCGCGCGCGGGCCCGGGGCGGCCGCGGAGGCCGAAGCACCCATGGCGGAGGGCGGCAGCCCAGACGGGCGGGCAGGGCCGGGCTCCGCAGGTAACGTGCGCGCGGCCGCTGGGCCGCGGGGCTTGTGGGGATGGCGGAGGGCTGGCTCCGGCGTCCCTGCCGAGGCCCTGCGTCCTGGTCCCGTCCTGGCCGGGTCCACGGGGGAGCCAGGGAGCCGCGCCCCGCGGGCCGGGGGTGAGGGTCAGCGCGGCTCGCAGTGCTGGGCGACGCCACCACGGACGCGCTGCCCGCTCCTCGGCCTCGAGTGCCGTCCCCGCGCTAGATTTTCGTTCCGGTGGAACTTGCTCGTAACTTCCCTCCGGTTAGCCGATACGGATTTGACATGACCCAACCGCAAAAGTAGGACGTGGGCCACATTCCAGCTCTGAGCGCACGGATCAGGAAAGCCAGCCAGAGGGTAGCCGTAGGGAGGGCAGGCACCTTTTCACCATTCTGCCGCCCACGGCGTGTCTGGTGGTACAGCGGGGCAGCCTTCCCACCTCCCACAGGCACAGACCAGGGACGACGGGGACGCCGTCTCCAGCGAGCTCGTCAGTGACACAGCATGTCCAGGGGCCTTTGGCCCACCAGCAAAGGAGGCAGACAGAAAGGCTCACACCCACCTTCCGAAATAACTGTCCTACTTAGAGTCTCCACCTTGAAGTGTCCCTACCGTGCGGATGTGAAGGAAGCGGTCAGGACAGGTTCCCCTTTCCCAGTGGTGTGGTGGGAGTTCCTTCTTGCCGGATTTCTGAGCCTGCCATTATCGCCAATAGTTTCATGTGCTCTGGGCTTGCTTTACATGCCTATATTTGTCTTTGGAGGGGTCCCTCTCCTTAGTAATAAACCAATAAATTTCTTAAAAATCTCAAAAGATTGACTTGGAGACTGGTGCAGATAGGCTTTTCCATCCATCCTTCCCTCCCCACCTCCTTCCAATCATTTAACAGACTTGTATTGAAGACCTGCTGTTGGCTAGACCCAGCGGAGAATACTGCAGTGACCAGAACAAGCCAGACAAAGCATCTACCATCCTGGGCTTTGGTTGGCATTGACTTTGACTTCAGAGACAGCCAGGACCTTAGGGTCTAAGATGTCATCTCTTGTGAGAGTGAAAGACGGAATGATAGGTGTTTGTGGGAAAAAGAGGACTAACAGCTACTTCCCAGTATAAAGAGGGGTCCTGGGGAAGAAACACGGGCTTTGTCAGCTGCACAGGGCTCCTTTTTTTTGAGTCGGAGTTTCGCTCTTGTTGCCCAGGCTGGAGTGCAGTGGCGTGATCTTGGCTCACTGCAGCCTCCGCCTCCCGGGTTCAAGTCAAGCGATTGAACTTGAACTGCCTCAGCCTCCCTAGTAGCTGGGATTACAGATGCTGGCCATCATGCCCGGCTAATTTTTGTATTTTAGTAGAGACAGGGTTTCACCATGTTGGCCAGGCTTATCTCGAACTGTAGACCTCAGGTGATCCTCCCGCCTCTGCCTCCCAAAGTGCTGGGATTATAGGCGGCAGCCACCACACTCGGCTGAGGGCTCCTTTTTATATCCTCATGCACTGCTCTTTTGTTATTCAGTGTGTTTCAGGGCTGGGGTAGAGGGGCAACAGATTTTCAGTTGAAGCTTAAATGCTCTCCTGGGGCAGTTAAGTTGTCCTTGGAGTAGCTGATCAGCAAAACACAAACTTGAAGTTGCTTTTGAATCTGGAGCTGGGGAAAGATTGAGTCTAGATTGAGTCTACTTTGAGCAGGGCCAGGAATGGATAGCACAGAGGCCAGGAGAGGGGGCCCAGAAGAGGGCTCAGCAAAAGTCCTGTGGCCGCCATTTACCTGTTGGTTGTTGCCCTACACCTGAATCTTTCCCACTCCGACTTTGGACTTTTTCACCTTATAGTAACTGCAACTGTGGAGTAATTACAGGGGAGGATAATTACTGAAGGAAGTTTGGGATGGTGGCCTAAAGAGCTGTTCATGCCTGCTTGTTGATCTGCGGCTGGTCTGGTTGCGGGATCAGCGTGAGCAACTCAATGGACTGTCAAACCCTGGAGAGCACGGACACTTACTCATCACCCCCATTGTACCTGTGGTTGAGTCTCATGTACAGAAGTACTCAAAAGAGATTTAATTTTAATATAAAAAACAATGTCAGCATCTGGAAAGAGCCCCCTTACGGAGGGGGTGCTTTATACCTGCCTGTCTGGTCTCACACTAGGACAGCATGGCGGAGCAGGGACTTGAATCCAAGCAGTCTGAGTTTTTGCTCTTTACTTACACACGAATCTGTGTAACTATTTTTACAAAACTCTTAAATCTTCAGGAGTTTATTTTGGGTTATGATGTGAGTTGAATAACTCAATTATTTCCTAATAAGTATCTAACTGTACAGATGCCATTTGTTGAATACTCTTCCATTCTCACTGATTGTGATGCCAGTTTATCATATTCAGGCATACCTTGGAGATAGTGTGTGTTCAGTTCCAGAACACTGTAATAAAGTGAACACTGCAATAAACTAAGTCACATGAAATTTTTGGTTTCCCAGTGCATATATAAGTTATGTTTACATGATGATACTATGGTCTATTAAGAGTGTAATAGGCAGGGCACGGTGGCCACGCTGTAATCCCAGCACTTTGCTAGGCTGAGGCGGGCGGATCACAAGGTCAGGAGATCGAGACCGTCCTGGCTAACACGGTGAAACTGCGTCTCTACTAAAAATACACACACAAAAAATTACCTGGGTGTGGTGGCGGGCGCCTGTAGTCCCAGCTACTCAGGAGGCTGAGGCAGGAGAATGGCGTGAACCCGGGAGGCGGAGCTTGCAGTGACCGGAGATCTGCTGCTGCACTCCAACCTGGGCCACAGAATGAGACTCTATCTCAAAAAAACAAAACAAAAACAGTGCAATAATACCATTATGTCTAAAAATGTACACATTTTAATTTAAAAATATTGCTGAAAAATGCTAACCATCATCTGAGCTCTCAGTGAGACATAGTCTTTTTGCTGATGGAGGGTTTTGCTCCAGTATTGATGGCTCCTGACTTACTGGGGGCTAATGGTAGTTCTTAGATGACAATGAAGTTTGCCATATCGACTGACTCTTCCTTAAATGAAATTTCTTTGTAGCATGAGATGTTGTTTGATGGCATTTTACCCACAGTAGTGCTTCTTTCAAAATTGGAGTCAGTCTTCTCTAACCCCGCTGCTGCTTTTATCAATGAAGTGTATGTGGCCTTCTAAATCCTTTGTTGTCATTATGACAGTGTTCACAGCATCTTTACCAGGAGTGGATTTCATCTCAAGAAACTGCTTTCTTTGCTCATCCGTTCAAGTTTGATCATGAGATTGCAGCAGTTCAGTCACATCTTCAGGCTGTAATTCTCGTTCTCTTGTGATTTCCACCGCATCTGCAGTTACTTCCTCCACTGAAGTCTTGAGCCTTTCAAAGTCATCCATGTGGGTTGGAATCAACTTCTTTCAAACTCCTGTTGATATTTTGACCTCCCATGAATCACAGATGTTCTAAATGACATCTGGATTGGTGAATCCTTTCCAGAAGGCTTTCAGTTCATTTTTGCCCAGATCCATCTGAGGAACCACTACCTATGGCAGCAATAGCCCGACAAAATGTATTAAATGATGCTAACACATGAAGGTCAAATGACTCCTTGATCCTTTGGCTGCGGAATGGCTGTGTTCGCAGGCATGAAAACAGCATGAGTCTTGTACATCTCCATGAGAGCTCTCGGGTGACTAGGCGTATTGTCAGCGAGCAGTACTATTTTGAAAGGAATCATCTGAGCAGTAGGTCTCAACAGTGGGCTGAAAATATTCACTAAACCATGCTGTGAACAGATGTGCTGCCACCTGGGCTTTGTTGATCCGTTTATAGTGCACAGACAGAAGGAGTTTTGGAATGGTGAATGAGCACTGACTTCCACTTAAAGTCACCAGCTGCGTTAGCCCCTAACGAGCGTCAACTTGTCCTTTAAAGGTTTGATGCTAGGCATTGACTTCTCCTTTCTAGCTATGAAAGTCCTAGATGGCATCTTCCACATTGAAAATCTGTTGTTTAGTGAAGACTGTAAAACTCAAAGACAACACAAAAGAACAGAATAAGCAGAAAAAACACCAAGTAGCCACCTTCATCAATTATCTTAGCCATGTCTTCTGGATAACTTGCTGCAGCATCCACATCAGCACTTGCTGCTTGACTTTGAACTTTTGTGTGATGGAGATGGCTTCTTTAAACCTTGTGAACCAACCTCTGCTACCTTCAGACTTTGCTTCTGCACCGTCCTCAGTTCTCTCAGGCTTCATAGAATTGGAGAGAGTTAGGGCCTTGCTCTGGATTAGGCTTTGGTCTAAGGGAATGTTGTGGCTGGTTTGATCGTATCTCCAGACTACTGAGACTTCCTCTGTATCAGCAATAAGGCTGTTTTTCTTTCTTATCAATTGTGTCTTCACGGGGGTAGCACTTTTAATTTCCCTCAAGCTCTTTTTTCCTTTGCATTCACAACTTGGTTGTTTGGCACAAGAAGCCTGTCTTTGAACCTTTCTCAGCTTTCCACATGCCTTTCTCATTAAGATTCGTCATTTCCATCTTTTAATTTTAAAGTGAGAGATGTGTGACTGTTTTTTTAACTTGAACACTCAGAAGCCGTTGTAGGGTTATTAATTAGCCT